TAAACAAACTTAATCGTGAACATAAATAAACAAACTGGATTATATTAACTTGGTTCATATAGTTTTTAAATTTTCAAAAAATGTTCAAATAACCAATTTTGAATGCATTATGAACTTTAATAAAATTAATTGAATCAAATTTGAGTTGTTCATTGAGTGCATTGATTGAATTACAGCCCTGACTCTAGATTTCAGCTTTTTTAACATCAACCCAAAACAATTTTGACTATTACTATCCAAGCACTTGACCTGCCTTAATCTTTCAAGAAAAATAAAACACATTCTACTAAGAAGCAACAAAACTATTTGATAAGATTGTGAAGTAATTGCCAAAAAAAAAAAACATAAGCCAATAGCTACGAATTGTGCCAAAAAGAAATGAGAAAAAAAGTAGATAAAAGCTAAAGAAACAAGAATTAGTGAATTTTGTAAATTATTATTTACAGAATCCTAAGGCAGTTAAATCTTACTCAATCTCATTGAAGAAATAAAAGCAGTGGCGTGAGCTCCCTCTTCATCATGTCTACATCCATTAAATTCACTGATTCACTGGAATTAATAAATTTGGATTTGAGACAAAAAGAGTGATCTAGATTTAACCGCTCACTAGATCAAACTTGTGCACACTTAGTTGTATGGCTAGATTTATGTAAATCCAACATAAATTCTATTAAAAACGCGCTATGATGAAACAACCCCTTAAAAAAATACCACAATAAAAAATAGGCCATTGAAAAGAAGCAAAATTTTGAAAATTAAACTAGTATTAAGGTGTGATTAAATGGCTAGTTATATTAAACATAATATTACTATAACTCCCAAAAGCTTGAAACTGAATAATAATAATTAAAGAGAACAAATATCCTTCGAATGAATGGAAGCATTTTTTTAAAGAAATACAAAAGATTTATATTAACGGACATAATACATGCAGTGAAGCTTAAAATAAGTCCTAAAATAGACAATACTAGCATAAAGACTCTTATGTATCAAGAAAAGTGAAAGATATGTGAATACAGGTTAGCTATTATAAAAGAAAGAAAACATTATTTTAAAGGTGAAAACCAAAATTAAGAATGAAAATGCTATTTTGAGAAATGATTAAGAGATAACTTTTAGAATGATTTTTCACAACAAGAAGAGAATTAATATAAATTAAGTCAAAAAAGGAAAGTTGATTTGGAATGAGCATATATTTAAGGATCTGAGCCTTGAAAGATATACATTGAGAATTAGAGATGTAGAGATAGATTAATATGGATTAATATTAAATATAAAAAGGAAGTCAAATTACTGGAGAACTATTTAATTTAATACATAAGAACAAAAGGAAAGAAGCTTTAGTACTGCAATAAACATCAATAAATCAAGCTTAATTGCCACCAAAAAATTTGGTAAAAAGGGTAATAGAACAAGAGTAGATGATGGCATTCTAATAAACTTAATTTAAATGGCACGAGGATCCCAAATGAAGATTACATAATTAATGGAAAAGGCATCATGTTAATCAAAAAAATGACCGGTACATAGTTTCTAATAGTAGAAAAGTGATTTGTACAGTAACCATAAAAATACCCACTTAAAACCTACAACAATAACAACAACGACTATCCCACTAAATGGGGTCAGCTAAATGAATCCTTTTTCTCTATTGTGTCCTACTGAGTCTCACATTTTCATTTAGTTATAATAGATTAAGATTATTTATACAATATGCCCAAGTCTATTTAGGTCTACCTCTGTCTTTCTAAACATAAGTTGAATTTAAAATATCTACTCTCCTAACTGTACCATCATATGGTCAGCGTTTAATGTGATCAAACCATCTAAGACAACTGTCTCTAATCTTCTCCGCCACTAGAGTTACACCAACCCTATCACGGATATATTTATTTCGCATTTTATATCTAAGTGTGAAGTCACTCATCCACCTAAGCTTCTCATATCAACAACACTTAACTTTATTTTATGCTTCTCTTTTAAAAGCCAACATTTTGTGTCATAGAATACTGCAGGTCTCACCACCATCTTATAAAATATTACTTTAAGCCTAAGCGATACTTTTCTATCAAATAATATGCCCCATGCATTCCTCCACCTTAACCAACCAACTTGAATTCTACTAATAATATCCTTATTTATATCACCATCATTTTGAACAATAGACCCGAGATATCTAAAACGTCACACCTTTGAATAATTTGAACACCAATAGTTACAACTCTGTCACTGAAGCTTCTACTAATAAAATTACATTCCATATACTTAGTTTTAGATCTACTCAAACAAAGGTCTTTAGACTCCAATGTAAACCTTCATAATTCAAATTTTTCCTGAACTCTTTCTCTAGTCTTATCCAGGATATCATCAGTAAAAAGCATACACCAAGGTACATCCTCTTGTAAATGTCCAGTAAGAGCATTCATAACCAAAGCAAAAAAAGATTTTGGCGTAAAGCCAATCCTTGATTTAATCCAACCGAAATAGGAAAATATATGACCAATCCTCCTTCTGTTTGAACACAAGAAACAACTCTAGTATATATCTTTAATGACTTGAATATAAGTTATATCAACATTTTTCTTCTCTAGAACTCTCCAAAGGACTTCTCTTGGAGCCTTGTCGTAAGTTTTTTTTCTAAATCAATAAAATCATATGTAGATCCTCCTTACTCTCTCGGTACTTCTCCATCAAACCTCTCAATAAATGTATAGCTTCCATATTAGACCTACTCTACATAAATCCAAACTAATTATGAGAAATCTTTGTAAAAATATATATACTAGTGACAAAATGATAAAAAAAAAATGCATCACACCCACCTAAAACCTAAATCATTAAAAAACTGCAATGAAGAAGTTAAACCAAATGTTGAAGTTGCCTTTAAAGCATACATTGTTTCCCATTCCCCAACCAAAAAAAAGTCCATAAAAAGTTTAATATAAAAAAAATGATCCTTGATATAAACTAATTAATCAAATCACTTATTATTGAGTACAAAAATTTTACTTCTATTGAAGCGAAATCACAATATATTGTTTTCATTTGATGAATTAGAAAGAGAGAGAGAGAGAGAGATACCCACAAAGAACAGGAAATGACAACTTCACGTTCTAAATATGTGAGATAATATATGATGGCTATATTTATTGCCTTCATTGCACATAAATTAAAAGATAAGCAAAAATAACTTGCTTGCCAATGATTTCCTTTTTAATCTAAAATTGAATTTTTGAGTAAAACACGTGGAACAAATCATGTGGACTAGGTATCATCTTGAGCAAAATATTAATATCCTAGAACTTTTATTAAAGGGTGTACATAGTGCATGAGATTCCCACCAATAGAAGTTATATGATGGGTTGAAGAAAGCAACCCTACCTATGACATTGCATCAACTCTATTGGGTTGCCACACCTGAAAAAATCAATCGAAGTTAACTCACCTAGTTGCCCTAGCAAGGCAATGCCATAACAGCTTGCAAGCCTCTTGAGTGAGTTAAGACAGTGCTATAACTTCAAGGAGAAAAGCAATAAGTTAGCCTTGATTTGAGAAATAACTACCAAAGCTTAAAAAGTTGAAGATGACCTAAATTTTATAGTCATAACTTGACATTGTATAATGTGAAAAGACCATCAAAAATTAAAAAAACAAACATCCAACCTTGTAAATAAATTAATCAAATATAGGTGCAAGAACTTAGACTTCGTAGTCATAAATACTAAAGACTTATAGGATGAGTCCAAGAAAACATAGAAAATATGAACAGATACAAATTTAGCGATAGAGAAGAAAGCATGAATCTCTAAGACCTAAAGTATACACTTGTCCCTTCTCACTTTACATGCTTCAAAATATCCCCATAATTAAAACAACGTTATATGCAATGTAAATATCTAATTTTGTGTTTCGTATAGTGCTTAAGTGAGCACCTCGTGCGCTAGAAAGCTATATCACCTTAAGTGTGTCTAACACTCTTCAAAGCACTCGCAGCAATTAAGTTATTCAAAGAAAAATCAATACTTTGTAGAATTATATGTTCTAATGATCCTTGTTCAATCCATCAATGGCAAACACCTGATGAGTAAAAAATTACTAAGCTATTGTGGCATGAATCCGAATAACAATTTTGTAAAGGAGGTCAAAACTACTACATAAATAAGATGTTACGTATAAACAAATATATAACAAATATCTATAGGATGGTCTTAGAACAGCATACATCAAGACACAAAACCATACATGCCCTAATTTCTGCATTTCAAAATCTCCAACTCTAATTTCTTATCCTAAGATTGCTAGCACTACAAGAATGAGTAACCAAACATTCAAGTATATCACGCATGCACAATCACTATCATAAAATGACACAAATGTTGGGAAAAATCCATGTTTTCACTAAGGTATCTCATGTCTACTTGCCAAGTAAACATCTCTAGCACTCCAACTAAAGCATCCTATGAAAAATGAATTCATCCTCAAGAACCCCAACCCTAAGAATATGGTTTATGTTCCAAACAAAAAAATTCAACCATCTCAAGACAAACATTTAGGAGCAACGACTGTCTCATATTCCAACTAAATATTAATCTCCTATCATCGTATCCTTGACAAATAAAAAATTCATGTCAACAAACAAAGTCATTAGGATCCCATGTCATGAATGATTAGAATAGTCCATAGTTTGTGTGGCTACCTTCATGACTACAAATTAAATGAGCATCTTCTACAGATATTCAAATCCTACTCGTGTATAAAAAGGATGGAATCATCCGAAAACTGAGAGCCCTAATCAGATGCCTTGAGTTGTAAACAGATTTAACTTTTCGTTCAAGAGGAGCCCAAATGAACGCATTTCAACAGTTACATAAACTACTACATAAGCAAAATATTAATTTCTAAATCTTTTTGAGGAATAAAAGATTGTCAAACAAATAATGAAATAGCACTATGATCCCAGATAGCATAGTTTTCTTAATATGTATTCCCAAGTATCATACATAATCTCCAGTCACGACTTCGGCTGCCCTCCAGTTCCGAGCAGCGCCGCCAGCCGGCACCGCCCTAGCGATTCTGTCGATGTGTTCGCCGGCAAGCTCCGGTCGCCACTTACCGTACTTTTTTGGGAGACGAGGGTTTCGTCTAAGAGAGGACGGGGGGAGGAAATGGTTATCACAAAGGTGTTAAATGTTAAAAACTAACAATTAATTAAAGGGCCTTTACATACATTTAACTTGGTCTTTAATCGAAGCGGTTTCTTCGTTCAACGAAATTCTTTTGAAAGACACGTGAGAGGAATGATGAAGGTCCTCTGTGGTCCAAAACTATGAAAATTTATCGTTCTTATGAGCGGTCCAAAACTACGAAAAATTATCGTTCTTATGAGCAACTTTGGGATACGCTCCTATTTTACCTAACAAAAACTTTCACAAGCCTCTGCAAAACAACAGAGATTTGACGTCTTCTCAAACGAAGCATTCTTCTTTAATAATTATATATTTAACACTTAAGATTAATTTTTATTTAGTCAATACCTAAATGTTCTAAATACAATAAATATATAATGCTTAGGTGGTGTCTGGGATGGTTGTAACTTATTATAACTGTGATTATTAAATTGGGAAAGAGAAAATAATTTCTTAGAAAGCTATGAAGTGAATTATACTTTCTCTTATTCTTGTAAGTCATAGCTTAATAATCATTTTTAGTTGATGGTTGCAATAATATCATCATTTATTCAATTGCCACAATAATCGTCATTTTTTCATTTAGTGTAGTATAGAAATGGTGGCTATTAGATGAGAAGATGACTAAATAAAATTCTTTGTGATATGAAAAGTACAAAAATGGTGAGAAATATAATATAAATATTGAATAAAGAAATTATAATTATTCTAACATAAAATTTTATTCGCTTCTTATATAACTTTTTTATGATTCTATTTTCTTACGATCATTGCAGTATTTATTTGATTCATTATCTGGAAATGAAATCATGTATGATACAAGAGATTAGCTTTCATGACATCTAAATTTGGTGAATATTTGAACAAAGTTAAAAAATCATAAAAGCATTTTCATTGGCTAAAATGATATGAATATGTTTTTACTGGTATATTTATAACACATCTTCAAAAATAATGAGTTTATCTAAAAGAGATGATTACATACATAGCACCGAAACATGCTATTTACAACACCAAGCATAAAAGGTGGTATTTTTGAATTACCAAATCAATGTATTTATGTGTGTCCGATCGAACCCAATGAGATTTGATACAAATGAAAAATATGGGTTGGGGCTTTGTCATGAATTTTGATATTTGAGTGAGGATTTGAAAAATTGATGAAATAGGGTGCTATATTTGTAAATAGCAATGTTTTGGGGGCTATCTATGTAATAGCCCCTATCTAAAATGATTGTGATGTGATAAAAATAATATTTTATGGCTAAAGTGATTATGTTGAGGTGGTTACCATAACAATAGATTTTGTGTACCAAATATTAAAAACATGTTGCATGTTAGATAAGATGGGATGCTTTCATAAAGTAGAGAAGCTAAGGGCCGAAGTTAGATGATAGAATACCATTATTTATGCTCAAATAGTGTTAGTAAATTTGTTGGTAAATTTGATATATACATTGATGGACACTTAACAAGACAAGCTGCAAACGACATGCTTTTATTAGTTGATCATTGATTCAATGATCTTATGAGCTTCAATGTAATTTGTTCGAACTAAGGTCATTGTTGAGAACTTAGAAGTGAAGAATAAATCCAGTGATAAAACCTGAGTTATTGCTATATATGCTTTTATATGATGTATACAGAGAGCAAGAAGTTTGTTATGTAAATATGATTACATTTTTGTTTACAATTTAAATCCAATTGTCAATAGGGTCAGTAACAAGTAAGCCACTCCTAATTGGATAGCTCATCATATATAAGATATTTTAAAAAAATATCATAACATCTCTCTAAAATAGATCAATAACAATCATGGGTTATCACTTTCATGCATGACATTATGGCATTCACAAAATTTGGAATCGAATAAAATCTTAGGTTGCTTGATGAAAATTATAAGTCAGTTATGTACTAAGTACAATGCTTGTGATCAAGAACGTGGGCTTTTACATTACTTATGACTACTATAGCAATAAAAACTCATTTAAAAAGTTCTATATGAGTTTGATAATGTGCATTGATGGTTTTCTATTGGTTGAAAACCTCTTATAGAGCTCAATGTATGTACATGGAGAGTAAAAGCTTCATGGAGAAAAATACCAAAAAGATATGCAAACTTCACAAATGTAGTCAATTTAAATGTTTGTGCATCACAAGAACACTTGAAAAATCGTTTAATTCAATCACACCTATAAATTCCTTTAGTTGACATTGGCTCATAATATTTTGAAATATGATATATTGTTGTTGGTTCAACAACATAATTATAAGTCAAAAGGAATGAAACAAAGAGTTTATTGAGTAATGTTATAAGTAAGCATTTTCTTACAACATTTAAATTTTGAAAAGTGTTTGGAAGTAATCAAGATAAAGCTTGATATTTCTTTTTTTCTAGCTTGATTTTATTTTATCTTGAAAGTATAATTCAATTTGTTCAAGTCCTATTTCATTCAAAATTAAACATTACGGAAGCATATGTTTGCCCAAGTGTAAAAGAAAAAGTTGCATAAGCCTTGTGGTGTTCTTGTTTCTTTGTATTTCACTATTGATGCATATATTGGTCGTCTATTGGCCATAGAAGTTTAATTATTGTGAGAAATGGATATAGATTGTTGATTGTAAGTTTTTTTTCCTATCAATCAATCATATTGAATTCTTGGTTATACCGGAAAATATTTAATTCACCTCTTATTGGTTTCCCCATATACTGTTAATAAAGCTTGAAATAGATAAATATTTTATGATATGTTAGTTTATTGACTTGTGTGATTGGTTTAATAAAAAAATAGTTAAAGAAGGCAGCAACTTGCTCATTTACACTCATACATGCACAAGTTATATTCATTACTAGTTAAGCTTGCCCCAAGAATTTTGGGTTGAGAGTATACTTCATTACTTGAACCATTCATTCATTTATTTTAATTGATAGTTTCGAATCAAACTAGTCGAACAAGAAATTTGTAATTCTTTCTTAAAATATAGAGCATATCTATTCTCAAATATTCATATGACATACAATCACTTGAATTAAACTTTGATAAGTTACAACCTCAACAATTTATTATGAGCAGGCATCAAAAGTTTTAATTATAGCTTTAATAACTATTACAAACTCAATAGCTCTTTCAATATTATTCATCCCATAATATGTTAATAGATATTGGTATTTTAACCTTTAAACTTGTTAATTGTCATCCTCTATAAATTAGACCTCGTACCCTAATCGACACTCATACACCACACCTAATAATTGATCCATCTCCCTCTCTCCCCTCCCCCCCCTCTCCCTCCTTCCCAAATTACCAACAACAAAAAAATATTAGGTTTTTTCCCTCCTAAGTAAAACCTTTTCAAACTCTATTTGGTATGAATCTTCTTTCTCAAACATATGAATAAAAAGAAATTCATGTTGACAAGAGTCTCCTAATTATTGCATATACATCTGATGCGGGAGCTTACGGAGATGCGGTACAGTAGTTGTTGTAGTACAATGGACTCAGTATTACAGTAATTCAGTCCCCTTTTCCTATTTGTTTCCTCGCCTTATCTAGTCATTCCTTTTTTGCACTTTATTTGTCTATCTCATTCTTTTTCCATCACATTTCTATTTCTATTTCCTAACTATTCTATCTATTACTCTTCATTATATATAGGTGTTGTTTTATTTGGTTAAGACAAGTTTTCATCTTCTAGATTTTTAGATTTACATCCAAGCTAATTGTAGAGGTTGATTTCCCTTCTAGGGTTGTATTTGAAAGCGAGGAGGAGCTCAGGCCATAACTCACCTCGATGTGATGATCTTCTCCAAAGGTTTGAGGGGTGCTCCGGCAGTAAACCGATCTTGCAGTGATATTTATCCTTCCCTAATTCCCATCATCGCTCTCCTAGTCATCATCACCGTTGCATCCAACCATCCAACTGTATAACAACCACATAAGTCATTTGATTCCTCTAACTGCTGTCATCCAACAATTCGGCCACCAGCCACCACATAGGCCTTCATGCCCCTCTTCTTGTCGTTGTTGTTACTTTCAGTCGCTTTTTAGCAGCCACACGGGCCTTCGTGGCATCTTCATGCTACTCTCCAGCCCATAAACTCATGTTCTTGCTTTTGTCTAACCTCCTGGACTGATTCCTACTGTTTTCCAGTCTACCACCATCTCTTATACTCCCTTCTTTGCCTCGTCACTTGCTATCAACCTCCTCTCAACAGGCTACCCTCACTTCTTCATCATACGCTGCCACCACATGATGTCAACCACCTTCCAGCACGACCGTCGCTTTCGTCCCTCTCTTTTGGGCCTACTGCTCTCCTCTAGAGAGACTTTTTTTTTGTATTTTGTGTTGTTTCTTTTCTTGTTTTGTAGTGTCATCGTCAATATGTATTGTTTACATAATTGTGTTATTTTTTGTTGGGATTCGTCGTTGTAGTTTTGAATTCAAAAATAAAATTTATTGTTCAGTCGTAAATTGAGTTGACTCTAGTATCATTTAGTATCATAACTAGCCTTACCATGATCCTATCTTAGGGTTTCCTAGTAGCCTTAGCCCTCCACCTAAATTTTGATTTCCTATTCCCAAACTTTAGACATGCTTTAACCTAACCAAATTTTGTTTTTTTGCTGATTTTTAAAATCAGCAACCCCAAATTAGTTTTTGACACGGTTGATTAGTCTGTTACACCCTCTTTCATTTCTCAACTCTAAACTCTAGTTATGTTACTAAGAAGGAGATGTATGCCCGAGTCTTCCTGAAAAGAGAAACAATGAGAGATCCACCGACGTCAGCTGAGGCTTATAGACATTGATGATGAAACTAATGAGAGATTACCCCTTAACAAGATTGGGAAAGTCCAAGAAGCAAAAGAGATTAGAATTTTAGCCCCTTCCATATGAAGGATTTTAGTGATGAAGAATAAAGGCCAATGGGTTTTGCAATCCAGCATCAGAGGAGGCCGAGAGGAAAACTAATACATGGAAAATGGGAGATTTTGAAGATAAAGTGAGAGATTAAGAGACAGTTCTTACAAACTTATTATAGATAGAAGGTTCGGACTCTAACTTCATAAGTAGAGAGACCACATCACCAAGTCACCACATCTTGCAAATATATATCAATCTCAGGGTATTACGGCCAGCTCACACTCGAATGAATACCCAATATGACTTCGTAAGAGGAAAGTTAATTCTGAGCAGAGAACAGGTGAAACCAACCCGCATCCATTAATCCATAACAACCGGGAAGTGTTGTAAGTGTCACTGATTTAGGCATGTTGAATCAGACTGCACAACCTGGGAGTGATCTGTTTCACTGAGCAAGGCATTCTTGACAAGGTGGGTAATGACACAATAGACACTGAAGACGGTGAGAATACAATGAAAGATGACAAACTTCTAGTTGTGGAGGAAAAGTTGCACATAGTCCCAGCTGAGCTCATGGGAGGGACTTCAATCGACTTCATGGTGAGTGCCCAAAGCAATCTTGAGTTTGAAGAATTAATATCATAGGCAGGACAACTTAAGATAAGAAAACTTTAGACCATTCAGATCTAAAAATTCATTTCTGAGTTTCCCATTCTGAGGGAGGTCCAAGACCTCACAAATGGGACCCTTTTGTACCATTTTGGAAGATTACATGGAGTTATTCAGATGTTTGATTCAGTTCAACATGGTACCCATCATCAGATATCCAGACAAGAGAGACGAAACACAACCTTAAAATTTATCTTAAGAGCTTGACCGAAAAAAAGATTCTTTAGTAGGATCCGAGTCTTAGCAATGAAGAAAAGGTCTCTCTTGAGTGGTTGCTAATGAGAATGGTGCAACCTGATACAGAGTCCACCCCATAGTTGATCTCAAAAGTAACATTGCAAGAACGTACAACTCAGGACATTCCTAGTGATAATGCATGTTCTATCAAAACGTGATATGAAATGAAAGCACCTACAAGATGGGTCTGCCACAAGACTACAATATTTTAGCTACATTCAATGTCGCGGACTTGACTTCATAATACTATAAGGACCCCGAAGCTTTGAAAAGTGAAGTCGAAGTTCCCCCCAACCACAGGAGATTGATGCAGAAGATTACCTAGATGCGTTGCTGTGGATGCTATAGTACCACAATCTCTTTTCCTTATTTGATTCCTTACCTTGTCTAGCCCTTCCTTTCCTAGCACATTTCTTATCCACCTCCTTCCTTTTCCATCACCTATATATTTTTATTTCATACCTATTATATCTACTATTTCTCATTATATATGGGCACTATTTGCATTAGTTAGAGTCAACTTTTTATCTTTTAGATTTTCAAATTTTTGTCCAAGCCAGTCGTCAATGTTGTTTTCCCTTTGAAAGCTATATCTGAAGGCGAGGAGGTGCTTCGGCTGTAATACATCCAAGGTGGTGATTTTCTCCAAAGGTTCAAGGGGTGTTCCGATTGTAACTCATTCCAGTGAGGATATTAATCATTTCCTGATTCCTGCCACTGCTGTCCAAGTCATCATCCCTACTGTCGACCAACCATCTAAAATCCTCTATTCAAAGCAAATGCCTTTCAACCGCTCTACCTATTGCCATCCATCAATCTAGTCGCCTTCCAACCACCACATAAGCCTTACAACCCCTCTTCCTGTTGTTGTTCATGCTTCCAACTTCTTTCTAGCAGTCGCGCCGGCCTTCCAAGCATCTTCCAACTACTGTCCAACCCCTTAGACATCGATTCGCTGTTGTCCAGCTCCCAACACCGACTCTTACTGCAGTCCAATCCACCATCACCTCATCAATTCCCTTCTACGTTGTTGTCACTTGTTGCCAGCCTCCTCCTAGTAGGCAGCCCTCGCTCCTCCATCATCCGACACCGCATCCCTGGGTTGTCAACCATCTTCCAGAACGACCACTGCTTCCGTCCCTCCGTTTCGAGCTTGCCGCTCTCCTCTAGTAAGCCTTCTTTTGGTTTTGTGTTGTTTTCTTTTCTTGTTTTGTAGTGTCGTCGTCGTTATGTATTGTTTACATGCTTGTGTTGATTTATGTTGAGGATTCATTGTTTTTATTCTGAATTCAACAATAAAATTTGTCATTTAGCCTGATTTGGGTTAATTCCAACATCAACTTCTCAAGGAGCCATATTCACACACATTAAAAAAACAAAGTCATATATTTAACTGATATTTACCACCCAATACTAAAAAATATATATTTATAATTATTTTGAACAAATATGCATCAAAACTTAAAATTATTCAAGATCATAATATTTTTGATACTAACAAAAAAACATTATACACAAAATTAAAGAACTCACAATAAATTCAAAACTAAAATAATAAGTTTTAAAGATCAACTTGTCTGTACTCTTGTGATAAACATATAGCAGCCATGAATAAAAAAGTTTTTCCAAGTACTCAAGACTAATATAATTAAAAAAATCTGATTAAAATACATTAAAATTCTTCAGAAGTGAAACATGCATTCTCATAAATAAAGAAATGCTAATAAATATAAAAAAGCAAGAGTTAGCTATCAGATATATAAACACACATGAATTATCTGTTGCAAGTAAATCTTTTTGTTTTCTTTTCTGTCAAATTCATCCTAACATCAAACAATAGGTGCTATATATAAATACATATGAATTATCATACAATAGCCTCCTCTCATTCTTTTAATTATATATATATATATATATATATATTGAAAAAGCATTTCCATAAACCTATACTTTTGAAGCCCAAAATCAATAACAGCAGCAGCTGCTTACAGATTAAAGCCTATATCCTAACCTCTGTTGTCTTAAAATTCCAAAACATACAGTTACATTAAGCATTTAGCAAATACATATTTAATTTATTAAACTAATACATAGGAGTTGAGTTGTATGTGTGTAAATATTCCTAAATAACTTTATGAATTTTCTAAGGCAAATGCATTTTCTTAAAAATTATTTCATAATGAATCTAACAGAAACTAAAAAGCGAGAAAGTAATTCACAAAGTACAGAGTTAAGAGTTAGAAGCCAAGATTATCTGCACATGAATGAGAAATTATTAATAATATATAAAGTTAAGAAACTGTACACCTCTAACATGTTGAAACAATAAGTTACAAATAAAACAGATTGGCTGCAAATTATGCAGAAAAAAATGGGTCAGGAGCTCTTTAATCAAATTCTTAGTTTACTCAACAGTGACTAATCATATGATTTTTGTAACAGTAACTACACTTGAAGACTGAAGTTTTTCATTAGAAGCTACAGACCCAATTTTCTTTTATATTTATTTAACTTATTTTTAAAAGATATGATTATGTTTTCATGACTGCTGTAGCTCCACCAAAAATGCAGAATTTGACTTCAATGCCTTCTTTGCAAGTTTACAAATATCTTCTCTTGAAGACTCCTTTGATATGCGAAGAAGCTCCTTGATTCCTCCACTCTGAATGACATCAAGAGCATTTTCCTCTGCAACATAATACATGAGACTGATATGAATGCAATGTTGATGCTAAAGTTCTCAAAACCTAAACATTAAACATTGACATTGATTCTTGGCTTAATCTGAATTTTTATGAAGAGCAAAACAATTGTATATGTGCAATTTCAGAAGCATGTTGATGCTAAGGAGATGAACATATATATATATATACATATGAAAATTATCCAAAAAGCCCCTTGACTATTGGGTTTTCAAACTCTTCTAATAGAGGCTAAAATGGGCCCTGGTGGGCAGTGGCGATCATTTTTGCCAAAAAAAAACAGAAGTCAGGAAACTAATTTGATATTTCTATAAACTTTGGGATTAAATTTGCCCCATATAAATAGTTAAGAGGGCCATTTTGACACTTATCTCATTTTTTTTAGTCAAAAGTGAAGGAGATGATTCCATTATCCTATATGGCATAGTAAGAATAAGCATAGTGAAATAGAAACGCAAATTAAGCTTATATGGCATATTACATGCAACAATAACGTAAGTATAAAGGAGGAGGATTTGCATAAATACCACTTAATTCCTATTTAGTTACATATAAAACCTAAACTTCAGTTTTTACATATATTCCACCTTATCCATGCTTGAAAAAATGCACTTCACTTTTCAAAAGTTAAAAAATGATATTTTCGATGTGATGTGTAAGATTTCGATGGTATTAATGCAAAAAATCAAAGTTTAGGTGTTAGATATGTAAATACATGGGAATTGGGCAGTATGTACGTAAAGGCCCGTAGAAAGAATCCCTGTATCATTTCTTGATTTAGGATTCCAATATAATCGAAAGAATGAAGGAATATTATTCAGAACATGTCCTAGTAAACTACAAGTAGGGTGATAGGAATTTCTATGATTGAAAAGATAATCAATAGGGTGTTAAAAATAAATACCATTTTGAGCCAAATGACACAACGCCAGTTCCATGTGATGTCTTGTTGAATCAGCATATACTGAACAGTTAGCGACCAGCCAATTAAGTGCCCCATCCTCAATAAGAAGAGACCTTCCGTTCCAATGTCCTGAGGAGAGAATGATACATTAATTATTGGTAAAAAGGCAAAAAAATGAGGTTGAATTACAGTGAAGTATCATGTAAATGCTGGCTACGCAATGTGTGGTTAAAACATAGGCTAAATTGTGAAGAGGCCCTTGATTGAGGCTTATGATTCATTGCTTATAAGCCTAAACTTTCCATCTTCCTGTTAAATTTCCTAAGGTCGAAATTATAGATTTATAATAACTGCAAGCTGGCTCATAAAAGTTGTGAGCTTTATTGTCCGTTTGCAACTTCTTGTAAAGATAGTTGTAGAGCATTTGTGGAGAAAATAGTTTTTTTGAAAATAGTTCTTGGTATTATAATTTCAAAAAAAAATCAAGTAATAATTTTTCATAACTACCACGTTCGAGCAAAATTTGGTAGTAAAAGCACAGCTCCTACAATAAAAATTTCCAAAAAATGAAAACATAAATGGAACATGAGCCACTTAACTTATACCCCTTATGTTACAAGCTTACCTTATGTAGTAGCTAATAATCATTATGATCACGCAGGTGACTTAACAAAAAATTTGGTGCCATTTGGGATTATTTATGCATTAGCACGTTCATTGATGCATCACAGGACAAAGCACCACCAAGATCATCTAGATTAATGGAAAGTCAACATGTTTGAATTATGACTTCAGTAATTTTACCCAATCAACCATTACTATAAAACCTGAAGCCAAAAGCCAAAATGACACCTAGATTTTAGATGTGTCCATTTGAGTAACAAAAATTTCAACTATTCAACCTAGTCCCTCAACTCATCAAATCCAAACCAATTTCATTCTTCCATTAGCTTTAATCATTTACAATGAATGTAAATAAGTGGCATGTAGCTTCCCATGATGGAACTTTTCACTTCTGGGGGGTCAATATCATTAGTTTGAGCAAAAAGTTATCCCTAATTCCAAACTTCCAACTAAAAAATTAGCTGCAGTACGAACATCTTAGGGTTTAGAAATATGCAAAGAGGTATCCAAGAATTTACTATGAAAAATATGTAGCAAAAAAGTATTCAAATGCAACAGAGACTTGCTGACTTTAAGATGAGACAATCCAGTGAGGTCACTCTTATAATTACAATGATGACTTGCCAAATCAAGAGGAGGAAGTGAATTCCTTCCACTAGGTAGTTTCTAATGATGAAGAACCAATATTCCGTTGATTTGGTATAGAATAGTAGCGTAGAGTCTAAGATGTTGGTGGAAAGATTGACTTTGTCAATTTTGATGGTTGTATAAATATGGATGAATTCATTGATTGGCTCCAAACAGTTGAATGCATCTTTTAAGTACAAGAAAGTCCCATTAAACAGAATGGTAAAGTCAGCCTCCATCAAGTTAAAGAAGAGCGCATCTCTATAGTGGAAAAAATTAAAGCGCATATGCCAGCTTAAGGGAGAAGGCAAAATAACTATATGGTTAAATATGAAAAGGGAAACACAATGTAAATACTTCTTCAGCATTACCGATACATATGTTCTAAAGACTCCACTACCTGAGCCAAGAAGATTCTTCTACGGATGACTACATGGTTAAATTTGAACAATTAAAACTGAAATGCGAGCTAGTGGAGCTAGGGGAGTACATAATAGCAAGATACTTTGGAGGATTGAGATGTCATATTAGTAATGTGATGCAACTGCAACTATATTGGTCCTTACTTGATGTACAAACCCGCTTTAAAGATGGAGAAATAACAATATCAGGTGATCACCACACCTTACAGACATAGTTCAATCTCAGAATCAAACATCAAGTGTATACCCAGGCGAGTATCCCAGCAGGCCCCACTAGATGAAAAATCAGTTCAGAGTGGAGAAAAGATGGAGATCACCAAAATTCCCAAATTCATCCCAAATAAGAAGTGTTTCAGGTGCCATAGTTTTAAACACATTGCATTCGATTGCCCAAATAGAAGGATGATAAATTTCACTGAGGAAAGAAAAGTTGAATAAATTCACAATGACATAGAGGAGTATGAAGACATAAAAAAAGAGCAAAAACTTGCAACCAACGAAGGAGAGATGCTATTGATTTAAACTGAGCTCATGAGAGATACTTCAGAGCGATTAATATTGGTTGTCCTAGAAGATAATAAGTATGAGGAACAGATATTAGAAAAGAAGCCGCCCTCGTTGTAGAAATTGCTAGATATATAGATTGATAGTTTACCTCCTGATGGCTGCCACCAAGATAGAACCAGCATGCCATAGAACTCATTCAGATATTTTTTCTACCAAACAAACTCGTCTATGAGATGCAATCAGTAGAGTATGACACTTAAGGGTTAGAGGCTTTGTTCGTGAGAGAAATAGCCCAAATGTAGCTTCAACTCATCATGCCGAAGAAAAATAGTTATTTATTTTATAAGGACAAACATTGGAAGGACGTGTATGTTTCAGAGTTATCTTGAGTAGATGTGAGCATAAACTTCACAATGGTGCTCCCTCAACTACAACAGTGTAATGAGTTTGTTAAGATGGTAGATCGATTACACAAGCTTCAAGAGAACAACAAGAAGTCTATCCTACCGGAAAGAATGATGCGGGAGCCTCGAGATTGCAGGATCATGTCTCCGCGAGAATTCCATGCTCCGTGAACCCCAAACTGTTCTGCAGAATGGCGGAGGATTGAGATGTCATATTAGTAATGTGATGCAATGCAACTATATTGGTCCTTGATGTACAAACCCGCTTTAAAGATGGAGAAATAACAATATCAGGTGATCACCACACCTTACAGACATAGTTCAATCCCAGAATCAAACATCAAGTGTATACCCAGACGAGTATCCCAGCAGGCCCCACTAGATGAAAAATCAGTTCAGAGTGGAGAAAAGATGGAGATCACCAAAATTCCCAAATTCATCCCAAATAAGAAGTGCAGGAGTCATAGTTTTAAACACATTGCATTCGATTGCCCAAATAGAAGGATGATAAATTTCACTGAGGAAAGAAAAGTTGAATAAATTCACAATGACATAGAGGAGTATGAAGACAAAAAAAGAGCAAAAACTTGCAACCAATGAAGGAGAGATGCTATTGATTTAAACTGAGCTCATGAGAGATACTTCAGTGCGATTAGTATTGGTTGTCCTAGAAGATAATAAGTATGAGGAACAGATATTAGAAAAGAAGCCGCCCTCGTTGTAGAAATTGCTAGATATATAGATTGATAGTTTACCTCCTGATGGCTGCCACCAAGATAGAACCAGCATGCCATAGACCTCATTCAAATATTTTTTCTACCAAACAAACTCGCCTATGAGATGCAACCAGTAGAGTATGAGAAATTTTAATAACATGTTAGACACTTAAGGGTTAGAGGCTTTGTTCGTGAGAGCAATAGCCCAAATGTAGCTTCAACTCATCATGCCGAAGAAAAATAGTTATTTATTTTATAAGGACAAACATTGGAAGGACGTGTATGTTTCAGAGTTATCTTGAGTAGATGTGAGCATAAACTTCACAATGGTGCTCCCTCAACTACAACAGTGTAATGAGTTTGTTAAGATGGTAGATCGATTACACAAGCTTCAAGAGAACAACAGGAAGTCTATCCTACCGGAAAAAATGATGCGGGAGCCTCGAGATTGCACGATCATGTCTCCGTGAGAATTCCATGCTCCGCGAACCCCAAACTGTTCTGCAAAATGGTGGGAAGCCTTGCGAATGCGGGATGCAATTTCCATCTAGGATATATTCCATTTGCGATTTTAGCCGAATTTTTCCTTTTTGGTTTTTCATTCCTATTCCTTTATTTCTTAATAAGGTTAATTGTTGATATGAGACTATTTATATGTTATAGTTCCTTGTTTGAGTAAGCTAGATTCTTTTTGGTGTTTTAAGAGATTATAGATTCTAATTTATAATCTAAGGAGTGTTGCATCATTTTTTTTTTGTAAGTGAAGTGCCTATCTTGCTTAGAAAAATGTTGTGAAATCTCCATGCCGGTCATATCTTGTCATTTCTGCGCTTGAATCGTTGTTTTAGCCGACACAACCGCTAATGTCACTTATCCTCATCAAAACACCGCTGAACACCCATATTTTCATTCCACTCCACAAACTCCCCATCAAGCCCAATTCGCAAAAACCTTCTAGTATCACTAAAATGATAACAACTATTTTCTTGTGTTTTAATAGCTTGAGTTGTTAGTAAGCTTTCCATTAAAAAAAAAAAAAGCAGTCCATCCTCAATAAAATGAGATAAGGAAGTACTTGTGGTTTATTTCCATTTGCGATTTTGGCTGAGATGGTGAGTGCATCAAAGTAGTTCAAATTTAGTGAGTAAATATACAAAATTGTACATCTAAAAAAAAGCAATGATATAAACTAACATGACAAAGATTAAGGATCACTTTATTCATTCATTCAATCATTCATGTAAGGGAGTTTTTCCTATTATCACAATTTATTAGATAGTGAGCTATGAATTTCCATACAAAAGGATGTCCAACTGAAATTTATATCACATTGAAAGCCCTGAGCTGATTAGTTTGGTTTCGGAAATTACCTCATGGAGGGTTTCCATTATTTTAAAATTGATCACTAAAAAAATTTATCTTCATTTTGAATCCTACAGGATGTTTCTAGCACTTATCGTGCAAAAGAACTCTTAAGGAGCATTCTTATCAATTGAAAGGTCCAGTAGTAATTTGCAAATGTGACCCCCTAAGGTAATTGTTTGTTGTTTTAAACCAGCAAGATATTTATAAGAATTTGGAATTTTTAATATTTATATTAGAAGATGGAGAGCTCTTACAACTTACTCCTCATCTGTTGCACTTGTGCAACTTTCGTGAATGTTCAATCAAATTTTAGATATTTGATAACTTATATTACTTTACAATTATGCACATTTTCTATTATTTTAAAATACTTTAAGTTCCATCTATAATTATTAAAAAATCTAACAGATTATCCATGCAAATATTTTCATTGTTCTGACCGGAATCAAAACATAGGTGTCCCA